GCGACGACGGCATCCGCCTAGGAGCGTGGCCGAAGCGTGCGGCCAGAGGACCCGGGAGTTCCTAAGAGATGGTGAGTAGGAGTCTCTTAGGTGAATATGCCTCTAAGATTGTGCACTTATATTTGGTTTTCTTTATCATAGGTGATGATACTTGTCTGAGACAACAGCCCGGTGAGAGAAGAACTTCCCAGACAGCAAGGTGGCTTTGTTTGGCTCCTGACCGGCCTCTCGCCGTGACTCACATCTTCAGCCCTCTGAGAGATAAGTGGAGCCCACAGAGGGGATCAAAGCAGGGCGGCGGTCGGGACTGAGATCGGTTTGGGTTTTTGAGTGAGCTTTGGGGATGGGGAGGTTCTGGAAATGACCCCATAGGCCCCAGTGAGGGAAAGCCTCACTTTGGCTAACAATGCTGAGGCAGGCAGGGCAGAGCAGTCCCAGGGTGTGTTGTCACTTGTCTCTCGTGCCTTCTGTGTCTTATGTGCATCTCGTGTAATGTGTCTCTTGCCTTAGTCCTCCCAGGGGTATATGAGAAACCCCGGGGTCCTTCCGTTCATCTCCCATCTTTGCGTTCCTCGGCCCGGCGCCGGCGAAGCTTCGATTCGGGAGGTCAGACACGTGTCAGAATCGCATCCGTCTTCAGAAGCACGTGATCTTTTTAGGTCTCGTTCTCAGCTGTGTCGACAGCTATGTGCAGCAATGTTTCTTTACAGTGGATAAGGACTTGTGCCGATTCAAAGGCAGGCAGAGGCTTCCAGCCACAGGATTCTCGGGCATCCGTCTTTGCGGTTCATGGAAAAAGTTTTTCCGTTAGCATCTTTTTCCTCCGGGGTCACCCGAGCCCGGCAGGCTCACCTCGGGTCCCTCCTCAGTCATCTCGTTCAGCATTCTCTCGGTCCTCGTGAGGACTTTCTCTCCCTGTCATGTCCCCTCGTGTCACGGGTGTCTGGGGGTATTTGGTCCGGAGCTGCTCTGCCCTGGCGCCCAGCCCGGTTGTAGGTGTTTAAGGACAAGTCCCGGGCACTTGTAATTGGAGATTTGTAATATGGGCTGTAGTTGGAGTCTAGCTGGTATTCTTATGTTGGCAGCAGGTGTCTGGAGCTGTGAAGTTACCCTGCAGCACTTTGACTTTTTTCCTAACTTTCTTTCAGATTCAGACAGATTGACCTCGTGGCAGAGCGCCGCATCCCAGATGAGGGGATCCCCCTGAGAAGGTTGGTCACGGTTTTACTTTGCAGCGGGGCTGGAACCGGTCACTGTGTTACAGCTCTGCTCTTTGTATTTATTTCTAGGAAGTAAAGCCGGATAGCAGCGGGGAAGGCGAAGCAGGTGGAAGGTGAGCCTCGGTTGGTGGAGAGCAGCCGTTGTTCTTGCTGGGGTCGCAGTTTCTGGTGCAACTCCAAGCATCCCTGCTTGTTGGTGTGTTTTAGGCTGCCTCCTGATGCTGTGCTGAGGCCCCCTCACTGACCTGCCAAGAGACCCCGTTTGCTTCTCTGGTGAGCCCCAGCAAATATTACCGAAGTCCGTGACGAAGCCTCGACCTCGTCCACGTGTCGGTGCGGTCCTGGTACCCTTTAGGCGTGGCCGAGGAGTTGCGGCAAGTTGGGGGCTTTGGAAGGAGCGGCGAGGGCGCGCTCAACTTTCAGTGACGCTACATCGCCTGCTCTCCGTTTATCCTAGGCGTACCCTGCGACGACGGCATCCGCCTAGGAGCGTGGCCGAAGCGTGTGGCCGGAGGACCCGGGAGTTCCTAAGAGCTGGTGAGTAGGAGTTGGGTTTTGGTGAATATGCCTCTAAGATTGTGCACTTATATTTGGTTTTCTTTATCATAGGTGATGATACTTGTCTGAGACAACAGCCCGGTGAGAGAAGAACTTCCCAGACAGCGAGGTGGCTTTGTTTGGCTCCAGACCGGCCTCTCGCCGTGACTCACATCTTCAGCCCTCTGAGAGATAAGTGGAGCCCACAGAGGGGATCAAAGCAGGGCGGTGGGTCAGGACTGAGATCGGTTTGGGTTTTTGAGTGAGCTTTGGGGATGGGGAGGTTCTGGAAATGACCCCATAGGCCCCAGTGAGGGAAAGCTTCGCTTTGGTTTGCAATGCTGAGGCAGGCAGGGCAGAGCAGTCCCAGGGTGTGTTGTCACTTGTCTCTCGTGCCTTCTGTGTCTTATGTGCATCTTGTGTAACATCTCTATTGCCTTAGTCCTCCCAGGGGCTTATGAGAAACCCTGGGGTCCTTCCGTTCATCTCCCATCTTTGCGTTCCTCGGCCCGGCGCCGGTGAAGCTTCGATGCGGGAGGTCGGACAGGCGTCAGAATTGCATCTGTCTTTAGAAGCATGTGATCGGATGTTTTCTTAGGTCTCGTTCTCAGCTGTGTCAACAGCTATATGCAGCAGTGTTTCTTTACAGTGGATAAGGACTTGTGCCGATTCAAAGGCAGGCAGAGGCTTCTAGCCACAGGATTCTCGGGCATCCGTCTTTGCGGTTCTTGGAAAATAGTTGTTCCATTAGCATCTTTTTCCTCCGGGGTCACTGGAGCTCGGCAGGCTCGCCTCGGGTCCCTCCTCGGTCATCTCGTTCAGCATTCTCTCGGTCCTCATGAGGACTTTCTTGTCTCAGAGAGTTTTCTCTCCCTGTCACGTCCCCTTGTCTCACGTGTCATGGGTATCTGGTGGTATTTGGTCCGGAGCTGCTCTGCCCTGGCGCCCAGCCCGGTTGTAGGTGTTTAAGGATAAGTCCTGGGCACTTGTAATTGGAGATTTGTAATATGGGCTGTAGTTGGAGTCTAGCTGGTATTCTTATGTTGGCAGCAGGTGTCTGGAGCTGTGAAGTTACCCTGCAGCACTTTGACTTTTTTCCTAACTTTCTTTCAGATTCAGACAGATTGACCTCCTGGCAGAACACCTGTCCCAGATGAGGGGGTCCCCCTGAGAAGGTCGGTCACAGTTTTACTTTGCAGCGGGGCTGGAACCGGTCACTGTGTTACAGCTCTGCTCTTTGTATTTATTTCTAGGAAGTAAAGCTGGAAAGCAGCGGGGAAGGCGAAGCAGGTGGGAGGTGAGCCTCGGTTGGTGGAGAGAAGCCGTTGTTCTTGCTGGGGTCGCAGTTTCTGGTGCAACTCCAAGCATCCCTGCTTGTTGGTGTGTTTTAGGCTGCCTCCTGATGCTGTGCTGAGGCCCCCTCACTGACCTGCCAAGAGACCCGGTTTGCTTCTCTGGTGAGCCTCAGCAAATATTACCGGAGTCCGTGACAAAGCCTCGACCTCGTCCACGTGTCGGTGCGGTCCTGGTACCCTTTAGGCGTGGCCGAGGAGTCGCGGCAAGTCGGGGGCTTTGGAAGGAGCGGCGAGGGCGCGCTCAACTTTCAGCGACGCTACATCGCCTTCTCTCCGTTTATCCTAGGCGTACCCTGCGACGACGGCATCCGCCTAGGAGCGTGGCCGAAGCGTGCGGCCGGAGGACCCAGGAGTTCCTAAGAGATGGTGAGTAGGAGTCTCTTAGGTGAATATGCCTCTAAGATTGTGCACTTATATTTGGTTTTCTTTATCATAGGTGATGATACTTGTCTGAGACAACAGCCCGGTGAGAGAAGAACTTCCCAGACAGCAAGGTGGCTTTGTTTGGCTCCTGACCGGCCTCTCGCCGTGACTCACATCTTCAGCCCTCTGAGAGATAAGTGGAGCCCACAGAGGGGATCAAAGCAGGGCGGCGGTCGGGACTGAGATCGGTTTGGGTTTTTGAGTGAGCTTTGGGGATGGGGAGGTTCTGGAAATGACCCCATAGGCCCCAGTGAGGGAAAGCTTCGCTTTGGTTTGCAATGCTGAGGCAGGCAGGGCAGAGCAGTCCCAGGGTGTGTTGTCACTTGTCTCTCGTGCCTTCTGTGTCTTATGTGCATCTTGTGTAACATCTCTATTGCCTTAGTCCTCCCAGGGGCTTATGAGAAACCCTGGGGTCCTTCCGTTCATCTCCCATCTTTGCGTTCCTCGGCCCGGCGCCGGCGAAGCTTCGATTCGGGAGG